CCCCAAAACCCCAAAACCCCAAAACCCCAAATTGCTTAAATATGTCAAAGTTTGAATTTTAATGAAATCAAATTTAATAGATAAGTATCATTATCAAAAATTTCTGCTAGAGCATTGACTAAGTACTGCTTTCGTGCCTTCATTTTCAATCGATACTTACTCAGGGATTGAATCAAATATCTTTTAGTTTTAAGTGAGCATCTGGAGTGAACCTTATTTCTTGAAATTAGCAAGGTTACTAAATGAAAGAGGATTACTAGAATCACTTCCACTCTTGTTTAAAGAACTTTAGTGACTAGGAGTTTTGTTAGGTTTTGGAGGAATCTAAACTAAGGCTAAAGCATCATAGTTTGAGAATTACGTCTTTTATTCTTTAGATTTAAATGCTTTAGCATCATCCAAATCTAGATCACTATATCTTTCAAAATCTTCTGAGTACAAAGTCATATTTGTCATGGGAACTGATTTATGCTCTGATATTAGCATTTCTTTTTTGGCTGATGCATTAGTTTTAATATTTTACTATGATGAAAATTCCTCATTATATTCTTTGGCCAAATATATTTATTTCAAGCCCTTAATATAGACAACTCTCTTTTTATTTATACGATAATTTTATCCCTTCTTTTTCTTTTTAATTTTGATTTTTTTAATATTTTCTACTGAACTAGACACTTTTGGAAGCTAAACTGTGTTACAATCACTAGGCTAATCTGTGTAAGTTTATGTATGAATTACTTCTAGATCACTATTATTCTAGGCTCTGCTGTAAGGATTATTAAATATTCTAAGTGATTATAATAAACTTGGCTGAGACACTGTTGTCTTAAACCTCTAATGATTAATAAATTTATTTTTGTACTATTTTGAATCTATTATTGTATAAATATTCGGAGAACTCTGCATATTTACTTCTTCCTATTATTTTTATGGTTAAGTTGGATCAATTTTAAGTTATTATAAATTCATCAGAGTAGATCGGTTGAGAGTATTTGCTCTCTAGGTTTGAGTCCTACTAAACCTTGCTGTTTTTGGTGATTGACTTTCGTCTTTACTGTTAATAACTTTTGATGTGTCTTTTGAAGAAACTTTTGTTGTACTTTGATTTTTATTTATTGAGAGTGTCAGTAGCCTCAACCTTTGTAGCGCCTTTTATTACTGCTATTCATTATTGAGTTTTGAGTCCATTTTATCTTGTACCAAATTTATTATTTAGCCATTTAACTCTTTATTCATTCCCTGGAAGTATCCAGTTCCTGCTTTACTTTGATATTCTTTCTATCTTAGTTATTCAAAATGAAAATTTTCCTCTTACATAGTGTAGCAATCACTCAAAAAATGGTAAATTCTGTAGCATTTACAGCAAAGAAATGCATTCTCGTAGAAGTTAAGGTTCATTATAGCATTCTTTTAATTAACTTTTTGAAATATATCGCTTGAGTAGAGCTGCTTTAATAAATCATTGAATATATTCTGATTGTTTTCCTTCTTATCCATATCTAGATGCTAAAAGTATTCGTAATCAGGAATATTCCCAGCCAGTATTTCCTTCCTCCTCATTCTATCTACATAGATTACTCTTTTCATAATACGATAGTAGAACTTCTGATCGTCATATATGTCATAATTATTTAGGACGGGGGTAGATGGCTAGAATTTATTTTATTGATTTTAGTTTTCATTGGAGCCAGCTTCACTTTTAGATCTTTTTTTTCGTCTCTCCATAAATCTTTCGTCATTCTGTATTTTAATTTCTTTGCTCTTATCTCTCTAGATTTCAAGAATCTTCAAACTGTCTCTAAGATATCCAAAAGGCATTTACAAGTATCCTCCAATATCATCAACATTGCAGTAATCTCCATTGCATTTATTCCTTTTGACCTTCATTTTGATGTCTTTGGAAATTCCGAATGACCTGCTTTGCTTAATCAATGAGTTTTATTTTATAGGGTCACCAGGGCTTAAGTCAAATTCATTCTTAATCTACATATCTTCAGATTCAAAATGCTTTAATGTGAGGAATTTCCATTTCCTATCGACGAAATCATGAATGAAATCAAAGCAAACTTTGTTCAGTTATCGCGCAAACTTGTTCTTCTTTATAAAGCCATTCATTATTTTTAATAGAATTTCAGTTTAAAATGCAATCTCTGGGAATTAGACATTTGGTCTATTAATCTCCTAAATGTAATTCCTCTCAGCATGCTTATCAGAGGTACAGTATTAATATTGGAAATCTGAAAATGAAAATAATTAAAATCATACAACTTACGATTGATATTATCTATTTCTTCCTAGATATATGTAAACTTCAATTTCTGCAACTTATTTTATCTGCCTTGATTCTGGCTTTTTTAGCTGAATTCTTGCTGTTGTTCCAATTTGACTTAAAGATCATAAATATACTGAGCATTTAGAACTGGCTCTTTTTTCTATAAGGCTATTGGACTCTGATTATCTTCACTGCTCTTTTACTTATTTTAACCAAGCTTTGGTGGCTTAGCTTGACCATGATTTTCGTTTCCATCATATTGTTTTACAGCACTGATGAGATACATCTAAATGATATTTATTAAAGTATATACTATACTTTTAAACCATCTTTACTCCAAACTACTCTCATTATGCTATTCTTATTACTCTTTGCAGGGATATACCTTTAAATATATATGTCACTTGCTACTTTAAATCAAATTAGCAAATCTAAAAAATTACATTTTCTAAGACATTATTTAAGTCTCGCATATGTAGTTTAAATAAAAAAGTCCAAATTTACTATGTTATGTTTCCTTCTGCATTATTTTGTAACACTTAATGGGATAAAGATAGCTTAGTCTCTATTCGTAGTACTCCTTCCTTGATTCTATTTCACTTTTTTCATATTCTTGATGAACCATTAAGTAATATAAGGCTTAGCTCTAAATTTTTTAATTTAATATGAGATATGAAGATTGATAGAGTTCTAACTAGTAATGTAAGATTTATACACTAATTCTACTTACTCCTTGATTTTATTATGAGGCTTAAGTCTCAAAGGGGTCACCATGTTTAAGATTTCTGGATTCTGTATTTAAATCTTTGATAGTACTGGATCTTAAGAGTCATTCAATAAATATCCAAAACCATTCTGTTCAGGCACAATGTCTAAGTCTAGCAATATTGTTTCAGGCATATTCAGAAGTATCGTCTCTTTTTGTGAAATTTAAGCCAAAAATGAATAGAAGTTAGCTAAAATTGGGATCGATATTTTTGTATCAATTGGTGCTTTTTTGTAAATTACTTTCTTTAAAAACCTTTAAACACTAGTCTGAACCTTATTTTCATTCTAGTTGGCAGATAAAGTTAATTCTTAAATTTCTTATGAATCATTCTTTTTAATCCCATATCTAAGAATTCGCTTATTATTCTTTACTAACTAACCTTTTATTTCACTATTCCAATTTTTAGTCAATGGTGAAATTCCAAAGTCATTTTAGACTTTAAATTTAGTGTTTACAGATAGTTGAGGGAGATAGTCTCTATGATGTGAGAGCTTGCTCTCATTCCTTAAATCAATTGCTGATAAAGGTTCCTAAATTGAAAAGTTTGTAGTAGAATTTTAAACTTTTTATTGACTATCTTGCTGATCAATATTCAAAATTTTCTTTTTCATATTTCATTTCACTTATTTAATTATAGTAGGAGATTAGTCATCATCATCATAACTTCCTTATCTTTAAAGTGTGGCTTAAGTAATAAATCTAAAGTTTTTAATCATATTAATTTACACAGAATCCAATTTAGAAACTAGTTTTTATCTGGCATATGGAGTTGAAGACATTTTCTTACAAATTATTTGTAAATTTTTCTTAATATTTGCAAATCTTTTATGAATTATTTTTCATAACGGGGTTTTGGGGTTTTGTGTAAATTAATATGATT